GTGGCTTAAACTCACGCTGGGCGCGTGTGCATGCGTACCCAAGATTCCAAGAGGAGAATGGAGAAGGGATTGTGGTGTGGCCATTCCCCCTGTGGGGGTGATTTCTCGCTTTCTATCTCTCTATCTGTCTTTCTGGCGAGCTCAAGCCCCCTATAGCAGAAACCTCTCCAAAAAAAATTATTTATTTTTAATTTTATTTATTCATTTCTTTATTTTAATTTGACCAGAGAGAGACAGAGAGAAAGAAAGTGAGAAAGCAAGTCACCAGGTCCAGGACTTGAACCATGGTCGGCCATGTGGGTGTGTCCAGCACCTTAACCGCCACACAACCTGCTGGTCCCCAGTAGATAGAATTCTCTATCAAAACCTGCTCAGGGACCAGCAGTTAGCATAATGGCTATTTCCCTGGACTCCCATGTAGCCGACTGTGGTACAAGTACCGGACCCAGTGGCTTAAACTCGTGCCAGGCACATGTGCGTGCGTGCCCAAGATCCCGAGAGGAGAATGGAGGAGAAGGGGTTGTGGTGTGGCCATCCCCTCTGGGGGGCGATTTCTCGCTTTCTGTTTCTCTGTCTCTGTCTGTCTAGCTAGTGCATGCGTCCTATAGCAAAAACCTCTCCATAAATAAATAAACAAACAAATAAATAAGTAAGGAAGTAAGGAAAGAAAGAAAAAAAAGCTGCTCATATTGCAGCAAAAACTATGACTGTTTTCAATGAGTGGTGTGAGATTTTGTATTGGAAAGGTGATGAAAACAGATGAGCTAAATTTCTTAATATAGTTCATAATCAGAAAGCTCTTAAAATAGCATTTTAGAGGTTCTGAGGGTTACAGGATTTGGACAAAAAAGTATTTTGTTTGTATGTTTACCTTAAGAGTGTGTATGTATCAGAAAAGTCATGATGCATTTTGCATCAATAAATGTAGAAAAATACATGACTTTTCTGACAACCCTATATATGTGTGTGTCTGTATGTATACTTTTTTTACAGGGCATCTTCCCTTCAAGCCAGATATGGTATCCCAGTTGGAAGCAGAAGAAAAGCTTTGGATGGTAGAAACAGAAACCCAAAGATGTGGGTATTATGGTGAAAACCATGCAGCAGTTCTTGCAGGTACTAACTGGTCCATTTCTCACATCCGTGTTTACCACCTTGTCGAAGTGCTGACATCTTGTGCCTGGGTTATGTCAACAACCTCCACAGTGATCTCCATTCTTCTCCCTTGCATTCCTAGAATCTAGTCTCTATGTGGTAGCCAGAGGGATTACTTAAAAAACAAGTTAGCAGAGACCAGCAGATGGCATAGAGGTTACATTGCTGGATTCCCACATGGCCAACCACGGTTCAAGTCCTGGACCCAGTGGCTTCAAAATCACACCAGGCATATATGCATGTGTGCCCAAGATCCCTGGGGGAGAACAGAGGAGAAGAGGCTGTGGTATGGCCATCCTGCTTGGGGGGTGATTTCTTACTATCCCACTCACTGTGTCTGTCTGTCTCTCTCATGCACACAAGTGCAAGCACACTAAGGCAAAAACCTCCTTAACAAAAAAGGCAAGTTAGCATGTGCCATTCCTCTGCTCAGAGTCTTTCTCTTTCACTCAGGGCCATCCTGCTTGGGGGGTCTCTTTCACTCCAGTGTCTTTCTCTTTCACTCAGGGACCTCATACTGGATTGCAAGACTGTCCCTGATCTGGTCACCTCACCAAGTTTCTCTTTGATCTCTTATCCTTTTTTGCTTAGATCATTCTGGCTATAATGGCTACTCTTGATATTTCTGAGACACATGCTGAGTTCTTTCTGTGTCATGGCCCTTGACTAGCTCTACTGTCTGCCTTGGCACAGAGCTCCTCCAGCCTTCTCCTTACTTCATGTCATTGTTCAAATTTCATCTCATTAGAGAGGCTGTCTTTGACTGCACTATTTAAAATACCATCTTCCTTTTGTTCTCCATCCTTTTTCCCTGCTTTATTTTGTGTCTAATCATGGATTACCCTCTGACCTACTAACCTATTTTGTTTTTCTCCCCATGAGAGTAGGAATTTTTGCAGTTTTGTTTACTACTGTCTACTGAAAGCCTCTTTTGGGCCTTCTGCATAGTAGGTACTCAGTAAATATTTGTTTTAATGAGCTGAGTAAATATTGAGTGTCAGAAAAGTCATGATACATTTTTGCATAGAAAAACAGAAAAAATATGTCTTGATTTTTTCTGACAGCCCAATATTTATTATTTTTGAGTTGAAGTGAGCAAACCCTCCTCACAGCTTTTTCTGATGTATGATCCCAGCCTTTTCTGTTTAAGTGTGCCTTGGCAGTACAGATGGACTAAGACAGAAGCTTTCCTTAAGCACCCACTATCTAGATACTTCCCCCACCCACCTTCTTAAGCAACTTTGTAGACCTCACTATCACATTTCCTTTTGAACCCTGTCTCCCTTGGGAACTGAAAGCACCAGGGGCAATAGCCATGCCTGTTTTCTTCACCTGTAATCATGGCACCAGTAGGGAACTGTTTGCTTAACAAACACTAATGAATAAGTAAATGTATGAGGGGCAAAAGAAGTGCCCCCTCATATACCCAGCCAGCTAGTTGATTTTTCTGCCTAGGCTTTCTCTGCCCTTCATTTTCCTACTGTCTCTTGCTTCTTCACTTAGCTTTAAAAAAAATATTATTCATGATAGACTGCATATATGCTCATGAGACTGGGGATGGTGGGATACCCTTCACAGGATTTAGTCACTCCCTAATCCCCTTTCTCCAGTCTTCTAGCTTGCTAAGATCCTGGGCACAGAAAGAACTGCATACATAACACAGAAAGAACTCAGCATATATGTGTGTCCCATGTGTTTTGGGGCCAACCAGGCCAGAAACTCTAACCATAGTTGATAATAGCTTCCAGCTATGCAGTCCAATATGCTACCAACTGTGCCACAGAGTTTGGAACTTCACTTCTCTTTTCACTCTCCCTTTCCTTCTTTCCCCTTCTTTCTCTTAAATTTACACATTCCTCAGTTCTACACATTTAAAAATTAAAAGTGAAAGGCTGTCCCTATAGTGAAGTGGTTAAGGGAGCCAGATTCCACATAACTGGCTGCTATTCAAATCCTTGCCCTGATGGCTTGAAAAACATGCTAGGGCACATGTACATGTGTGCCCCAAATCCTGATGGGATTGATAAAGAGGAAGGGATGCAGCATGACCACACCCCGTTGGGCAGTGCTTTTTCTCTGTCTTCCCCATTCCCTCTGGTGAGTGCACACACCCTCTGGCAATAAACAAAAATTAAAAGTAGAAATTATATAGCCATAGAAACTGTACATTTATATATTCTCTCTCCAGCCCCAGGAAAATGATAGACTGGGCCCTGAAATCTGTGGGCAATTGATGGATATAATCTGTCTTTTGTCTGTCTCCCTTTTAGATCCACATACTACTTCGCATTTGATGTATTTATTGTGAGATACTTCTTTCATTTTACTGGGTCTCTTTTTTTTTTTTTTAAAGAAGTATTCACTTATTTATTTAATTCCATTTGGTGTTATTATTTATTATTTTTATTTGACCACACAGAAACAGAGAGGGAGAGAAAGGGAAAACGAGAAAGCAAGCTGCCAGGTCCAGGATTCATACCACAGTCAGCCGCGTGGGAACCCAGATCCTTAGCCACCATGTCACCTGCCAGCCCCCTGGGTCCTATATGTAACCCTAACCTTGGGAATTATGATTCTAAGTGTTGTCATTCTTCCTGTTTGCATAATAGATCAAGTTCCTCTTTTAATAAATCTTGGAGCATTTTCTGCCACTCTTAAAGATTTTTTTAACCTCTTTAACTTCAGCATTTTTTCACATTTTGAAACTATGATCTCTGTACAAATAATATCCTAAAACATTCTTTATAGGTCAGAAGAGTACAGATTAAAGGACTTGTTTTTATAAAGATTGTTAAAAATCAAAAGGCTTGGGAACCAGCAGTTAGCGTAATGGCTATGTGGCTGGACTCCCACATAGTCGACCGTGGTTCGCTTCCCGGACCTGGTGGCTTAGAACTCACGCCGGGCACATGTGCATGTGTGCCCAAGATCCCAAGAGGAGAATGGAGGAGAAGGGATTGCGGCGTGACCATCCCCCCTGGGGGGTGATTTATCGCTTTCTGTCTCTATGTCTCTCTCTGTCTGTCTGGCGAGTGCATGCGCCCTATAGCGAAAAAAAAAATCAAGAGGCTTATAGAGAATGGAGACAAATGGACTTCACAACCCTATTACTCATAGAAGTAGCTCATAGTTTTTAAAGGCACAGTGAGAATAACAGATGGTTTATACTGTCTTCCAGTAAATGTCTGGTGTGATTCTGTTAGGTTGTCGGGAAAGTCATGATGTGTTCTTCTATGGTTTCCTATGCAAAAAGGCGTCATGCCTTTCCCAATGATCCAATAATTTTCTAAACATCTTGGATATGTAAAGATTCAAACCTGCTAACTTTAGGAGATTAAAGCTATTTACAATGTTCAGAACATATAATTAAGCTAACAAAAGTGATTAATACTCAATATGTTAGGCATTATAGTTCATCAGTTCCTATGTGAAAATTCCAAGTTGGCTATTTACTAGTGAAAATTGCCTCATCCATACAACTCCCCACTTTATCACCCTTCCTTCCTGTAATTCCTAAGCAGTCATGTAACATGTATATATAATAGATGTGTAGTAGTTTCGAATTGGACATTTCCAGAAATCCAGAGGCATTGACATCTATAGAGATGAGGAAAATTCTTATTAGGAAAATAAAATGATAGAATTTATAAATAAGTTTTCTAGTGTAATTTACATCCTAGTGGCATTAATGCATGCTAATAGCATGGGCATTGTAAGAAGCTTCATGTTACAATGACTTGTGATATCAAATAGCTAAAGTTGGGCTAGATATTACAGGTTAAAGGTAAAGTTCTCCACAAGACTGCCCTCATCACTAGCCGTAAATTTGGGGCTTCCCAGGACTATACTTACTACTGATCCAACTGGTTACAAATTTGGGGTTCCCATGATAATTTGTTAGAATAATGTACAGAATTCAGTTTTATTATAGCAAAAGGATACATTTGGAACCAGCACAAAGGAGAGATATGTAGGGAGAAACTTGGGAGGGATACATCCTACTTACCTCTTGTAAGGAATTGTGATTTTGAACCCATCTAAATAATCAAGGATAATTTCTCCATAACAAGATCTATAATTTAATCACATCTTTTAAGTCCCTTTTGCCATGCACGTTAACATAGTCGCAGGTTTCAAGATTCAGGACATAGACATCTTTGGTGCTGTTGCTTAGCCTATCATACCAAGAAATGTATAAGATACTTGTCGACAATTTTTTTAGTTTATATTATTAGAATGTGACTTTTCATTTAGGTGAGTTAATTATTTAATTAATGACTTAGTACTCTCCCTGCTTTAAACACTTTAAGCCAGTATATTTTTTTTTTTTTTTTTTTTTAGCTATAGGGCCCTTGCGCTCACCAGAAAGACAGAGACAGAGAGACAGAAAATGAGAAATCACCCCCTGGGGGGATGGCCACGCTGCAATCTCTTCTCCTTCATTCTCCTCTTGGGATCTCAGATATGCATGCACTTGTGCCCAGCGTGAGTTTAAGCCACTAGATCCGGGACTCAAACCATGGTTGACTACATGGGAGTCCAGCAACATAGCCATTATGCTAACTGCTGGTCCCAAGCCAGTATCTTTCATACATTTTAAATAATGACCTCTTGACTAAGCATAAATGTGTGCCTATTTATATGTATGTTTATAACTGAGACAAGTATTTCAAATAGTGGCATTCTTACTGGTTATAATATGCATACTGCATTTTTATTCTGTTTTCTTTCTTTTTTGGTCACAAGTTAACAGAATTAGCATCATGGTACACTAATGCATCCCAACAGTCAAAAAAACATGTTACAGTGAGGATAAGGCAAAGAAGAAAGCAAAGTGCATGTTTTCCTCATGACCATTACATTCTAGAGAGCTTAAAAAGACAGAAATTAGGAAGTAAACAGTAAATCAAATAAGAAATGCTATGGAGAAAAAGAAAGTAGGGAAATGGGGAAAATCAAAGGTGTGCGAAAGTGCAGAGGAACTATTTTTATCTTGGGTGTTACAGGAGGCATCACTGATAGAGTGACATTTGAACAGACCTAAGAGCAGTGAAAAAAGCAAGCCTCAGCTTGCTCAGCAAGCCTTACACCTTTGTAGGAAAATGCTTTTCAAGCTATAATTTTTTAAAAATAATTATTTATTTAATTTTATTGATTCATTTATTTTAATTTGACCAGAGAGGGAGAGAGAAGCGAGTAAGTAAGCTGCCAGGTCCAGGACTTGAACTGTGGTTAGCCATATGGGAGTGTCCAGCGCCTTAACTACCATGCCACCTGCTGGTCTCTGTTATTTTATCTCTTCCTCTTCGGGTTCGCTTTGAGAGTCTGCACTAGGCTCTGTTTCTTTCCTTCTCCCAAGTTGTTCTTCAGTTGTATAAGATTAGCTTTCTCTTTTCCGCCTCCACTTCTTTTATGGAAACCTAAACTATCAGGTTTTAGAACAGCAGCTTTCTCAAATTTATTCTTGGAGAATAACTTATAGCATGACCTGAAATACTATTTTATGCCCACAGCCTGAACTTTCTAACCTAATTAGGTATTAGACTCCCACTTGTTCTAAGCTTGCCAAGGAAAAGGCAAGTAGGCTTTTGATTGATGTTATTGTAGGTTGGAACATTACCTTGCAGCCACCTGATTTCAAGGTTGCAGCTCTCAGATTAAACTATTACACTTTTAGTTCTAAGTGGGTCACATTTACATGAAATAGACAGGAGCCTACAGACTCTACTCTTTACTTCTACCTGCACAAGAGAGAGAGAGAGAGAGAGAAATGCCATGGGGCTAGCAGGTGGCATGGTGGTTATGGTGCTGGCTCCCACATGGCTGATCCCAGTTCAATTTTCAGACCTGGCAGCTTGCTTTCTCACTTTCTCTCTCTTTGTCTCTCTATGGTAAGCACATGTGCCCTATAGCAAATTAAAAAGAAAAAAGAATAAATAAAAATAAAGTAATTCTTAAAAAAATAATAAATGATGTAAGGACAAGATGACCCTTCCTGTGTTTTATTAAGGCCTTCCTCTATATCCTAAATGTAAAATCCTAATATTTGTAAGCAAAACATTTGCATTTCCTCATTTCTGAATGTTGCTTTTTTTAAAAATAGGCAGAAAGAATCAAAATGAGATGAAGGGTCTTCGAAAATACCTTTCATATGAAGAGCACTCCTGCTGGCAAATATGGAAACAGGTTGCAAGTGAACTAACCAAGTGTCTTCAGAGGAAGAGTTCCCAGTTACTACAAGGTGATTCCACTCCAATTTATGAAAACGAGAACAAGAGTCATAAAGGAAATAACTCAAGTTGTATTGAAAATCAAAAGTTTTCCATTTCAAGAACCCAAGATTTTTGCAGAAATATATATCTAAGTGAGTCAAAGAATCAAAGTAGAGATAAGCAAACTGAAATGAAAACTAATCTGCATATATGTGAAGACTCCATGAAGAAATCACCACTTTGTGAAGGAATTAAAACTGACATCAACCAGAAACCCTATAGATGTAATGAATGTGGCGGAAGCATTAATGATGGCTCTAATCCACAATTGCTCTTAGGAGAGAAACCCCACCTGTGTAGTGATTGTGGGAAGGGCTTCAGTAATAGCACAGAACTTCCCTTTCATCAGGATGTTCACACAGGAGACTGCTACCGTCAGAGATCACATCTCCAAACTCATCAGAGAATTCACCCTGGAGAGAAATCTGACAAATGTCATGAATCTGGTGATTTCTACAATAAGATCTCTTTTCATTCTCATCAATCTAGTCATACAGGAGAGAAGTCCTATCGATGTGACAATTGTGGCAAGGGATTCAGTAGCAGTACAGGTCTTATCATTCATTACAGAACCCATACTGGAGAGAAGCCTTATAGATGTGAGGAGTGTGGTAAATGCTTTAGTCAGAGTTCAAATTTTCAGTGCCATCAGAGAGTCCACACTGAAGAAAAGCCATATAAATGTGAAGAGTGTGGTAAAGGCTTTGGTTGGAGTGTTAATCTTCGCGTCCATCAGAGGGTCCACAGGGGTGAGAAACCCTATAAATGTGAGGAATGTGGCAAGGGGTTCACTCAGGCTGCACATTTTCACATACATCAGAGGGTCCACACTGGGGAGAAGCCCTACAAATGTGATGTTTGTGGGAAGGGTTTTAGTCACAATTCACCATTAATATGCCATCGGAGAGTCCATACTGGAGAGAAGCCATACAAATGTGAGGCATGTGGGAAAGGCTTTACCCGTAATACAGATCTTCATATCCATTTCAGAGTTCATACAGGAGAAAAACCCTACAAATGTAAGGAGTGTGGGAAAGGCTTCAGTCAGGCTTCAAATCTTCAGGTCCATCAGAATGTCCACACTGGGGAGAAACGATTCAAATGTGAAACATGTGGGAAGGGCTTCAGTCAGTCCTCAAAGCTGCAAACCCACCAGAGAGTCCACACTGGAGAGAAACCATACAAATGTGATGTATGTGGTAAGGACTTCAGTTATAGTTCAAATCTTAAACTGCACCATGTAATTCACACTGGAGAAAAACCGTACAAATGTGAGGAGTGTGGGAAGGGCTTCAGTTGGAGATCAAATCTTCATGCTCATCAGAGAGTCCACTCAGGAGAGAAACCCTATAAATGTGAGGAATGTGATAAGAGTTTCAGTCAGGCCATAGATTTTCGGGTACACCAGAGGGTCCATACTGGAGAGAAACCATACAAATGTGGTGTATGTGGTAAAGGATTCAGTCAGTCCTCTGGTCTTCAGTCCCATCAGAGAGTCCACACTGGGGAGAAGCCATACAAATGTGATGTGTGTGGAAAGGGCTTCAGATACAGTTCACAGTTTATATACCATCAAAGAGGCCACACTGGAGAAAAACCTTACAAATGTGAGGAATGTGGTAAAGGCTTTGGTAGGAGTTTGAATCTTCGCCATCATCAGAGGGTCCACACAGGAGAAAAACCCCATAAATGTGAGGAGTGTGGAAAGGCTTTCAGTCTGCCTTCAAATCTTCGAGTCCATCTGAGTGTTCACACTAGGGAGAAACTCTTTAAATGTGAGGAGTGTGGTAAAGGCTTCAGTCAGAGTGCACGTCTTCAAGCCCATCAGAGAGTCCACACTGGAGAAAAACCATACAGATGTGATATATGTGGTAAGGACTTCAGTCACCGTTCACGTCTTACATACCATCAGAAAGTTCACATTGGAAAAAAGCTTTAGATATAAGAAGTGTGTTAGTGGCATTTGTCAGAATATACATCAAGTTTTTGGAGAGTCCATGATTATGACAAACTGTACAAAATTATTGAGAATAAAAGGGAATTTCTTTAGACTCAGCATCTTTTTAACAAATCCACCAAAATGATGGCATAGAACCAGAGTAACAGGACCAGCACTCCTTTCGGGGAATAATAAAGATTGTAGTTCTTTTGGTAAAATGCAATTAATATAGATCATTGTCCTTTGATGTGAATATATGCCTGAAGATAATCTATGAAAAGATACTTGCCTTATACTAACTAGTTTTTTGATCAAGGAGGGTTTTGGATATTTTTCCTTTAACTTTCACTTTATACTTAGCTATTTTTACTAAACTGTAAAGCTATGAAAAATGAATAAAATTACTAAAGACTTCCTGTAGCTAGGACTCATAATATTATTTTACTTCATGTGGCATATAGAGTTAAAATTCAGGAGTAAATTCTGAGAAGTGAATCTTTGGTCTTCAAAAATAAGTTCATTTCTGCTATAGATGTGTATAAAAGGATGTTCACTGCATCAGTGTTTCAATAACAAATATAGGTAACCTGCCAAAGTATTTTATAGTTTACTGATTCAGTTGAATGCTATGCAGATATCAAATGGGAGAAGGTAAATTTACAGTTGTGGATGTTGAAAGATATCTAGAATACATTAACCTAGGATAATAAAATGGATTTTTGTGTGATCCTATTTTTTAGAAAAAATATAGATGAGTGGGTATTTCAAGTTATCTCCAAATGAAGGGATTTTGTTTCAGTATATTTTTATATTTTTAAAAAATTTACTTTGAGGGACCAGCAGTTAGTGTAATGGCTATGTCGCTGGACTCCCACGTATTCGACCGTGGTTCGAGTCCCAACCCAGTTGCTTAAACTCACCCTGAGCGCGTATGTGTGCGTGCCCAGGATTCCGAGAGGAGAATGGAGGAGAAGGGATTGCGGCATGGCCATCCCCCTTGGGGGGTGATTTCTTGCTTTCTGTCTCTCTGTCTATCTCTGTCTGTCTGGTGAGCGCACACGCCCTATAGCAAAAACTTCTAAAAAAATTTACTTTGAAATTATTTAAAACTCAAAAATTGCAAAAATGACAAAATTTTTCATGTATTTGTTTTGAGAGTTTACCCCTTAGAGTGCATGCACTCACCAGACAGAGACAGAGATAGTGAGAAAGAAAGTGAGAGATCACCCACCCACTCCTCCTCCCCCCCAGAGGGGATCGCCGTGCTGTATTCTCTTCTCTTCCATTCTCCTTCCATAATTTTGGGTATGCACATGTGCTCAGCTTGAGTTTATTTATTTATTCATTCATTCCACATGAAAATTTTCGAGTTTATCCTCATGAAAAATCCACACAATCATTGCAGATAACCATTACAAAATCTTTACTCCTTTGTTCTCCAATCTCCAGCTCACTATTTGGCAGCTTCAACATTGGCCTTGGCAGTGCCCCTTACTGGCTTCATTCTGTTCTTGCGTTCCTTTCACTGTTTTCTTGACATCTTTTTTTTTTTTCCTCATAGAGACCATGTCTTGCAAGTCTGTTTGGGTTCATTTTTCTTCACATAATCCAAAGAATTGTAAATCATGCCAAAGCCAGTTAGTTGTCTTGCCACCATAAAAATGGGTTCTGAACCCAAAGAAAATGACATGAGGTGTGGTCTTGTACATCTTCGCTAGTTTTCCCCAAGTTTTTGTCTTAAGTACTGTTGCCTTCCTGGGGTGAAGGACATCAATGACCATTTGTTTCCTCTGAAATAGTCAGTTGGTCATGAATTTTCTGGTTCAGATAGTTACTGTGTCACTCATGATGGTGGTGTATCACCCCCCAGCTTGAGTTTCAAGCTGCCAGACCCAGAACTTGAACCGTGATGGGCCACGCGGGAGTCCAGCTATGTAATCACTACACTATCTGCTGGCCCCCCAAATCTTTCATATATTCTTTACCCATATTCAGCACAACACTTTTGAATCCTTGTCATTCTTTATTTCTATACTAACATGACACACAGTGATACCTAAGTATGCATGCGGGATTTTTTTTTTTTTTTTTTTTTGTCATAGGACATGTGCACTCAAGCAGAGAGAAACCCAGAAAAAGAGGAGGGGGAGGAGTGAGCAAGAAATCACTCCTCAGGGAGATAGCTACACCACAGTCCCTTTCCATTATACACACACATGCCTGGCATGTTTTTCACGCCACTGGGTCTGGGACTTGAACCCATGGAATCGACCATGTGGGATTTTTTTTTTTGTCATAGGACATGTGCACTCAAGCAGAGAGAAACCCAGAAAAAGAGGAGGGGGAGGAGTGAGCAAGAAATCACTCCTCAGGGAGATAGCTACACCACAGTCCCTTTCCATTATACACACACATGCCTGGCATGTTTTTCACGCCACTGGGTCTGGGACTTGAACCCATGGAATCGACCATGTGGGATTCACCTCCTTAACCACCACACCACCTGCTGGCCCCCATGTATGTGTACTTTTTATTTTTTTAAGAGAGGTTTTTTTGCTATAGGATGCACATGCTTGCCAGAGAGACAGAGAGAGGCAGAAAGTGAGAACTCACCCCACAGCAGGGATGGCCATGCCACAATCCCTTCTCCCCTCAGAATCTTGGGCACTCATGCATATGTGCCCAGCATGAGGTGTTTTTTTGTTTGTTTGTTTTCCTAAAGAATTATTTAACTTTAATTTGAGCAGAGAGGGAGAGCGAGAGAGAGAAAGAAAGCCGCTAGGTCCAGAACTCGAACTGTGGTCAGCCATGTGGGAATCTAACACCCTTAACCACCATGCCACCTGCCAACCCCTGCCTACCATGAGTTTTAAGCCACTGGTTCCAGGATGTAACCATTACATCATCTGCTGGTCTCTATGTATGCTTTTAAAAATAAAAATAAATATGGGGACTAGCAGATGGTATAATGGTTTTGTTGCTGGACTTCTGCATGGCCAACCATGGTTCCTGAACCCAGAGACTTGAAACTCATGCCAGACACGTGTGTGTATGTCCAAAATCCTGAGAGGAGAATGGAGGATGGTGTGGCTATCTCCCGGGGGGGGATTTCTCGCTTTCCCTCTCTCGCTCCAGCAAGCACATATGCCATATAGCAAAAACTCTTATCAAAACAAAAATAACTGTATACTAGTATGCTATAAATACTTTGCTCCTTTTTTTTTTTTTTAATTTGCTATCGGGCATGTTGACTCACTAGAGAGGGAAAGTGAGAAAGCACTCCTTGGGGATAATGGCTGTGCTGCAGTCCCTTCTCCTCAGTCTCCTCTCATGATTTTAGGCATGCATGCACATGTACCCAGCATGTTTTTCAAGACATTGGGTCCAAGGCTTGGACCACACAGTTTGCTATGTAGAATCCAGTCACTTTAACGCCATGGCATCTGGGTGACCCAAACAGCTTGTGTTTTCCCAAGAACAAGAATATTTACTTATATAGCTACACTATTCAGAAAAATACAGACCTTATTTAAATTTTCATTGTCCTAATATATTTATTGCATAATTTTTTGAGTCCATAATTCAATCGATTATACATCACATTTAGACTTTACTCTGGATCATTTCCTCATTCATTGTTTTTAATGAGTTTTATATTAAAGTGTTTTTTTTTTTAATTGCCAGAAAGTGCATGTACTCAGTAAAGAGATGGGAGAGAGAAAGGGGGAAAAAACAGCCCCCAATGGTTGTGTGTGTGTGTGTGTGTGTGTGTGTGGGGTCATGCCACAATCTCCTCTATTTCTTCATTCTTTTGGGATTTGGGGCAAGCATGCACATGCAACCAGCTTGTTCAAGTCACAGTGGTCAGGATTCCGACTATAGTCAGCCATATGGGATCTGACTCCCTTACCCCCTGGGCCATGAGGCTAGTAGCCCTGAATCTTGTATTTTTGAAGTTATTTTGTAGAATGTCTCATTTTGGATTTGGCATGATGTGACCTTGGTGCATCATGTAAGGAAATGTGATTATGTTGGTGCTATCATAGATGATGTTAACTTGGATGACTTGATTAATCATGTGTTGGGTGTTTCCACTGTAGTTACTATTTTTTCCTTTGTAATTAATCATTCATGGGAAGATACTTTCTGACTCTCTAAGTTATTTTTAAGAATTTCCTCCACTAGTTTTAGCATCCAGTGCTACGTCTGGTCTAAATTGAGTATTTCTCTGATGGTTACAAAGGGTGATTTTTCTACCTTCATTATTCCTTCCTCTAAGTAAGAGTTTTCCTTCTGTTTTGTTTGCCCACCATCTATTTTCCATAAGTCTGAGTACATCCTTTTTCTTTGGCACAATACAATGTTCCAGATTCATCTTGTGTTCTCCCTGTCCTAGCCATGTAATTTACTACTTCTTTGAAACCCCAGTTCCTCATATTATGGAATAGTACTTAGAAATCAAGAGCTGGGTAATAGACTTTTTATTTATTTTTATTTTATTTTTTGCTATGGGGATAGAGATAAGAAGTGGATGAATGAATACATAGATATGGAAGGAAGGTGGGCTGGTAGACTAGATAATGAGTTCGTACTTCTTTTTGGAGAGATTTTTGCTATAGGGTGTGTGCGCTCACCAGAGAGACAGAGAGACAGAAAGTGAGAAATCACCCCCCGGGGGGATGGCCACACTGCAATCCCTTCTCCTCCATCCTCCTCTCAGAATCTTGGGCGTACACACACATGCCCGGTGTGAGTTTAAGCCACCAGATCCAGGACTTGAACTGTAGTCAACTACATGGGAGTCCAGTGACATAGCCATTATGCTATCTGCTGGTCCCAAGTTCATACTTTTATCTCTAGTTTCTAAATCAACATCATAGGGTTCTTCCTTCTCTTACCCTATTCTGCAGTATATTGCATCTTAATCCACCAAGAGCCTCCCAATATTTGCTGGGGAATGTGGACATTCCCAGTTAGAACTTGGAATATCTCTTATTCAAGGAAGGAGAGAATGGACAATTAGACTTCAGTATCAGAGATGATTTTTTAAATGGCATAGTCTCCCAAACATAACTTTTCCCATTCTCAGAGCATTGACTTTTCAGCCAAATATCATGCCCCAATGGCACCATGAAGGAAAGTACCTGATAGAAAAATTCAATGTAGGAAAGATCTCTGCAGACAATGTTGTCTTACAGATACTAATACAACTAATGGGAAGGCATAGCTCCTTGTGATGTGTAGTTGAAGAGGTCTGGTCTGTGGGCTCAGTTAATGCCAATGACCAGCACCACCTTACTCATCTAATGTTTCCTATTAAGAGGGAGTTTGACAAAGTTCTCAGACCATCAAGGACTACATCTCTCCATAGCTTAATGAGAGGGCATTTTAGAAGAAGCTAGGGTTAAAGACACAAAGAGAATGGTTTTAAAGCAGT